TGTGATAACGCATTTACATTTTGATCATTACTTGAGGATAAATGTGGATGTCTATGGGCCACAGCATCCACTTACCATCAGATGGACTGAGTGCTCGTTTGTCACCCAATGATATATAAAAAAAATTACGCACAACCCTGCGGGTGGATGTGAGCAACGAATTTCATCCTTACGAATTATATGAAGAATTACTATTAATAATCCCTAATTTACCTAACTTCGTAACAGATGTGAAACAGCCGCTCCAATACATCACAGAAAATAATTTTAAAGAAATATACCCTATCATTTACATCGTCATTAGAATGCCATTAACAATACCAACAACTTTTTAACAGTGGTAGAGCTACGCGGCAGCTTTGCTGTTGCACATATGGGCCGGCTCAAACCGGGGTGGTACCACGACCTCACAGTGAAGTGGAAGCTCTGCTTCCGCGTTTCGTCTGGTGAGTGCAGGTGGCCGGAGGCCCAAACCCCCCCATCAACATGGTAGCGGAATTAAATGATGATAGACTACCCCAGGAGGGTACCAGCACCCCTGGAGAATCTCTCGCTGAGCATCCACGACCATGTTTCTTCACTCCTGAGCGTGGGTGCTCAGGCTGCCCCGAGTATTCGGGGGGGGGGGGGCAATATTCCGCTCAAGACTAAAACTGCTCGGGGTAAACGGAGCAACAAGACCAAGGCGACCGGACCCCTGCCACGCTATCCGTGAATTTCCGCAATATCAGGGGACTTCACTCTAACCTAAACGCCGTCCACTACTATCTCGAGACGGCGAGGCCGGCTCTGCTCTTTCTGACCGAGACGCAGGTGTCCTCTCCAGCTGATGTCTCGTATCTTTCCTGCCCGTGGTACAAACTGGAACACTCCTTTGTGATTCGGGCTGGAGTTTGCGTTTACGTGAGAGAGGACATCTGTTCTTGACGCCTCGGCAGTCTTGAAGATTTGGACCTGTCCATCCTTTGGCTACGCGTAGATAGCGCCGACCGATCGGTAATGCCGAAACAGACCGACGCTTCGACCACGTCCAAATAAATAAATAAAAAAAATGTTTATTTCTTTAACTTAGGCTTACAAGCATTATTTTGTGGCCAGAGTCGCCCAGGAAGCATGTAGTAATGCTTGGGTTGGGTGTGTCCAAATGGCTACAGATTCGTTGCTACAGCAGATCCCCTCCGCAGAGATCGTGATCCTCAGCGACTTTAACGCCCATCAGCGAATGGCTTGGTTCACGTTTAACCGATCATGCGGGGAGATCTGTTCATGATTTTGCCTTCGCATATAGTCTGACATAACTGGTTACCTCGCCTACGAGGATTCCAGATGTGGAGGATCATGCACCTTCTCTGTTGGACCTTCTGCTGACCTCTCACCTGGACGGATATCAGATTTCCTTCGACGCCTCTTTAGGCTCCTCGGACCATTGTCTTGTCCGGAGTGTGGTGCCACTCACGCTGAAATCGCAGTTGAATTCTGCAGGCTGCCGCCGTGTTTGGCACTATAGGTCAGCCGATTGGGATGGGATGCGGTCACTCTTTGTATCCTACCCTAGGGTGGGTTTGCTTCTCGCCGGACGATCCCAACGTTGTTGCGGATTCTGTCGCTGATGTGGTACTTCAGGGTATGGGACTTTTTATTCCTTCCTCTGTAGTACCCATTGGAGGCAAATCTCAGCCATGGTTTGGTCGCTCCTGTAAAATAGCATCATTCTATAAGCAGGAGTGCTACCAAGCCTGGGCTGACGCATCAACGTCCCGGGATGTAAACACCAGCGCTCTAAAAAATAAGTATAATTCCGCCTCTAGGTCCTTCAAAAGAGTCATTGCCAAGGCAAAGTCAGAGCACATAGGCATAATTTGAGAAAAACTAGTTCGCCTTTTTCTGGAACCTGTACATTCTGGTCTCTCGCCAAGGCTGTCCAGGGGAATTTCTGTCAGCCATCTCTGCACAGGGAGGACGACTCACTGGCCCATACTGCAAAGGAGAAAGCCGATCTGCTAGGCTCTTCCTTTGCGTCCAACTCGACTCTTGATGACGGGATGAGTACGCCGCCGACCATCCCGCGGTGTGAGTGCTCCATGCCGGAGGTGCATTTCACACAGCGCTCGGTTCGCAAAGCATTCCTCTTCCTGGACATCCACAAGTCGAGTGGGCCTGACGGAATGCCCCCAGTTGTGCTGAGGACGTGTGCTCCAGAGTTGGCAACGGTTTTAACGCGTCTTTTCCGGTAATCCTACTCCATAGGCGTAGTCCCAAAATCATGGAAGACGGCTTTCGTCCACCCGATCCCTAAAAAAGGTGACCGCTCAGACCCGTCCAACTACCGGCCTATCGCCATCAACTTCTTATTCTCCAAAACAATGGAGTCCATTGTAAACTGCCAGCTCATGAGGTACCTCGAGGATCACCAGCTGATTAGTGATCGCCAATACGGTTTTCGCCGTGGTCAATCAGCTGGTGATCTTCTGGTCTACCTAACTCATAGATGAGCTCAGGCAGTAGAGTCCAAGGGGAAGGCATTGGCCGTTAGTTTGGACATAGCGAAGGCCTTCAATCGGGTTTGGCACAAAGCGCTTCTTTCGAAGCTCCCTTCCTATGGGCTTCCCGAGAAATTGTGCGATTGGATCACCAGCTTTCTTGCAGATTGGAGCATCAAGGTCGTTGTAGACGATGCAAGCTCCGATTGCAAGCCTATTAATGCTGGTGTTCCACAAGGCTGCGTGCTATCGCCAACGCTGTTTCTTCTGCATATCAATGAAATGTTGCAAATCCGTAACATTCATTGCTATGCAGATGACAGCACTGGTGATGCTCTTTACACCGGCTGTGCCAATATTTCTCGGTAAAACGTCTCCGAGTACCGGGACAAGTGTCTGAAGTCGAGTCTTTGCAGAACAGAGTCTCGGATTAGGGGCGACTAAATCTAGTCCAGTTTAACTCCCAGAAGACACAAGTTTGCGCGTTAACCGCTAAAAAGTACCCCTTTGTCGTATCCCCTCAGTTTCAAGGCACTCCCCTTGTTGCCTCAGCCAGTATCAGAATCCTCGGAGTCGACATATCGAGTGACGTGCAGTTTCGTGGTCATTTGAAAGAGAAGGCCAAATTGGCCTCTAAAAAGCTTGGCGTGCTCAGCAGAGCGGGACAGTATTTCATTGCAGCACACCGCCTGCAACTTTACAAGGCGCAGGTTCGGCCGCACATGAAATACTGTTCCCATCTTTGGGCTGGGGCTCCCCAGTACCAGCTCATTCCACTTGATCGCATCCAGCGCAAAGCGGCTCGAATCGTCGACGACCGAGTGCTTTCCGATCGGCTCCATTCACTGACGCTGCGAAAAGATGTTGCATCTCTTTGCATTTTCTTTCGCATATACTATGGGGAGTGCTCTGAGGAATTGTTCGGATTAATCCCAGCCGCCAAATTTCGTGAACGTACTACGCGGCAAACGTCACGATACCATCCACACTATTTGGATGCTTGGCGGTCCACCACTGTACGGTTCAGAAGGAGTTTTCTTCCGCGTACAACCTCTCTGTGAAATAGTTTACCACCGGCGATTTTTTCGGACCGATACGACCTGGGAACCTTCAAGAAAAGAGCTTACTCCTTTCTAAAGGGCCGGCAACGCACCTGCAATTCCCCTGGTGATGCGGGTGATCATGGGCGGCGGTAGTCACTTAACATCAGGTGATTCGCATGCTCGTTTGCCCCCTCTTCTATAAAAAAAATTACGATGTACTCATCAGTACAGCCTCCGCTGAAAGAAGCTTCTCAAAATTAAAATTCATTGAAAATATTTCAGAAATAAAATGTTACAGGGAAGACTTTTAGCGTCGGCATTTATCGAGGCAGATATGGCATCCAAGCTGGATTACGAGACTATAATTAAACAATGTAACAGTGTAAAAAGCAGATAATTTCTGTTATTTTAATATATTTTAAAATGTTTAATAAAAGTTTCATGCAGTTTACAGAAGGCCTCGCAAAATATATCTTGCCCACATAGCTATATTAGTAGTTTAGTTGTAGCACGAATGGGTCGGCTCGACCGGAGTAGGACCACGCTCTCAGAGACGACCAGCATAAAATAGCAGCTAAACGCTGCTGTGTTTCGTATGGTGAGTGTAAAGAACTAGAGACCTGTTTTACTGGAAAAGAGGCATCCCATCTTAGTCCTCTCGGGTGACAACGGATCTGCATTTTGATTCGTAATCCAGGATAGATGTAGGTGTTTATGGGCCACAGCAACCACTTACCATCAGGTGGACTGTGTGCTCGTTTGTCACCCTTATCCTATTAAAAAAATAGGTCTTGCCCCGCCACTTTTCCACTCGTCAACAACTTCGAGCATAGTGCTCCCAACATCTGCCGGCATAGGTGTGACATGGACATTAAACATGATCTTAGTTTTGTATTCTTCTTGTGTGTTCTTAAGACCTATCCGTTAGGAGACACCATCGAGGTCATTGAGCATAGTGCTTAGGTCCTCCAGCGATTCTACCATAAGGACTATATCGTCGGCAAATCGAAGGTGAGTAATGTACTCGCCATTGATGTTAATAAAAAAGGGTTATTATGACACAAATGAATACATGGTTGATAGTAACTCCTGGGAATGTTGTGGTCGTCTCCAAGCTGTTTCTAAAATAAATTTTGTAAATATTTTGTGACCATTGACATTGTAAATTTTTTTTACAAGTCCCGCTGGGTTTCTAGCTGGTTCTTCCCAGAACAGAGGTTTTATTTTGAACCAGTGGTAAAGTAAAAAATTGACTTTCAATAGGAATTACTTGTAATCTATATTGAATAAAAAAATTATTCTATTCTATTCTATTCGATGCAGGTGGCTCAGGACCGTGCCTTATGGCATTCCTTGGGGAAGATCTGTGTTCAAGAGTGAACTCCTAATATATTGATAATGATAAATTTACTGTTGAATTTTTAAAACAATTTATTATATAAAAGTTGCAAACATTATTTAAAAAATGCAATTATAATCAATGTCTATGTCTGTATTTCTTTAGTCTAAATTGTTTTTTCAAATCGCGTACTGTGATCTCTGCGCTGCCGGTGTCCACTTGCCGGCTGTTCTGCTGCAGGTCAAAAGGAATTTTTCTTCTCCCCATTTGCAGCCAGTCACTAGGGTTCTCCTTCTTTATTTTTTTCTGATAAACGACGCGACCGCTTCTTGTCACATAAGAAATGACGGGAGTTAGCACGTTTCGTTTTTTCTTTTTCTTTAACCACCGCTTCTTGGAACCTCTCGAACCTCTAAATTGAAATTCGGAGCTAGAGGAATAGTCCGCATCGCTAGTGCTGCTGCTCTCGCAACTGGATTGGTCGCTATAGTATTCGGGCCTGCGTGGTTTCTTTCTCTTGAATACGCGGTCAGTCGCTTTAGAGCGGTAGGGCATAACGACGACAGGCATTTGGTGTTGGCGCACCTGCATAGGCATGGGTGGAGGACCAGACATGTAGGCGTGTGGAGGCTGCGCGTGCATCGAGACTGGGTATCCGGCCCCCGCTATTTGCGGCATGGGAAACGGAAATTGCGCTGTCACCCATATTGGTAATGTACTAACTATGAGCTGATAGAGTATGACTGCGTGTGCCATGGTACTTAAAGGAAAGCTTGCCTGGAACAGTCGAAAATTTTATTTTTAAACAACGTTTGTTTCACCGACTATTTTCGATAGAATGGGGGTGTGGCCCATAGACATCTTCATTTACCCTTGATTAAGAATCAAAATAGAGATTCATTGCCACCCCTGAGGGTTAGGTTGGAATGCTTCGTTTCCTGTAAAAAGTCTCCGGTTGTCCACACTCACAATCCGAAACACAACAGCATTAAGCTACTATTTTATGCTAGTATTCTGTTGAGAGCGTTGTCGTACCCCGGTCAAGCCGACCCTTTCGTACTGAAACCGTAACAGATATAGCTGCAGCGTAGCTCTACCACGTAAAAATGAAATATTTTTGAAAACTCACTTCATAACATTACCTTTATTTGTAAGATTTTTTTGTAAATATTTCAATCGCAACTAACAATCACTAAAGACATCGATGTATTTTTATTAACGTATAGCTTATTATATATAACAATGGTAAGAATGTTGTTTAGTTCGTAGTTTTTTGAACAGCCTGTTATCAGCATTACGACAGCATAATGAGCTACAGTGATTCGAAATTAAGCAGAACAATACCTTTATAGTTCTGGAGTCTAAATATACAATCGGGGTGTTTTAACAAGAGTTATATGATTGACTTTTGTGATTTAACTTGTTAGTATTAGTTATGTAAAGTACGCTGCGTAAGCTGCACCTTTTTTGTATAAAAAGCTCGCTATAGTCTAAGAGGATTACATTATTATATAATTCATTCCTAATCTAGTTACCAATTGCCGTGAATTATACGGCGGCCATTGTTTACGACATTACGGCACTGTTTACGTCAGTGTATTGTGTTAATCGCAGCTGGCGGCAAAGCTAATATAGGAAACCCACAGGTTCTTGTTTTCACTTAACTATTGACGGATATCGGAGCAGTATTGATGGTATACCGTAAGTATTAATTTACTAAACTTTTCTTTTCTTTTTTTTTATCGTTCCACTAGGGTTTTTTCCTGTATTGTGGAGGCAGTTTAAAAACATAAATAGCAAAAGGGCAAACATCCACACTCAGGACAATTATTCGCATGTCGTACATATACTTGTTCCGTGCGTGATTCGAACCCGCGGCTCTCAGCACCGCAACTCAACGCTTCGCCGCGCCACCACAGAGCCGTCACATCACAGAACTGTCAGTCAAAATTACAAAACATAAATTAAAGTTTCAATTTTTTGTTGCAGAACAGAACAACGATGCAGTTGCAAACATTTGTTTGTATATTCGTAATCGGAACATCCTTCGTGTTGGCAAAAGAACCAGAACTGCCACTGTGTCCAACAAACATAAACTACTTCCCGCAGACCTTGCCGATGCACTGTCGTATGCCGCGGAGTGCTAACTACCCAATGTTTCCAGGAATGCTACCGAACTTGACATTTCCACCTCTGCCTCCAGTTTATCAGGGTCCTCCCGATAAGCAACCCGCTCCAATGCCCATTCCGGTGCCGCCAGGGATGCCCGGACCGGTACCGATGCCGATGCATGTGCCTATGATGCCAATGCAACCACCAGGACCGGCTCACAAGTTGCCCGTCATCGTAATGCCATTTTATTCTCCAGAACCAATAAGGAAACCCAGCAATTCAGGCCGCCATACACCAAAAAAGAGGCGAGTACACAATAATAAAAAGAGACTACCCCATTATCACACTGAAACAGACACGGATACGGACACCGACACCAGCGAAACTGACACCTCTAGAGACACCTCAGGCGATACGTCGTCTTCAGATTATGACGCTGGGTGGTGGAGAGGTAGAAAAATTGGCAGAAGATCCAATGGTAAGCACTTGCTAAAAAGGAGAAAGCAGAAAAAAAATAAGGAATTACTGACACCGATCTTGCAGTATGTCACTAAGGATGGCTACGTCATATTCGAGAAGAAAATAAGTAAAAATCAAGCAAGTGATTGGTTGCAAGAGAAACAGGAAGACAAAGAGAGAGAATTTAATGCTCCACCAAAAGAAATCAACAACGATAAAGATGAGGAAGAGGCTATCCAAGAAGTGGAGAACGCTACTAAAGAGGTAGCTAAAAATAGAGGCACCGATACGAAAATATTTCAAGAAATGGAACAAGTCGAAGTTAAGACACATAGGAATCCTCATCGGCATAAACCGAAAAAATCGTTTAAGGACAAAAGTTGAAAGGTTTCCCGAGAAGTTTTTGTAATTCTAACGTTTGTGTGGAGTTGCATTTTTATACTTTTATATTGACTAGGAATCACTAAGTTGAGTTCGATCATTTAATTGGTTAATGCGTTTTTTTATGGCAAAGTCATATAAATTTACTTAATTTTTCTTCTTTTGTAGACCTATGACACAGTTCTAACGAATAATTTATTTTTATTTATTTTATTTCGAATTAAGTTACATTGTGTAACATTGGTACGTCAAAATTACAATTATATAAATACAATAATATAATTAAAATTTCAAATTATACAATGACAATAATATAATTAAAATTACAATATAAAAGAACGTTTAATTTCTCTCCTTTTGTAATAAATATTTTTGAAAAACGTACGCAATTTTAATGTTCTCGTATTTATATTATAATAAAGACTGAATGAATTATATCTAGAATCTAGTGTTGTGGTTTTCACGATGTGGTTTTCATAACTTTTATGATGATGATAAATACCATTTTAGTTCCTTTTATCTGTAGTTTTTTTGTGTTCTGTTAATTTGTATTATATTTTTGGGTGTAAATAAAAAAAATATGATAATATTTCAAGCAACTGTCTATTTGATTGTGATTAATGACATAATTCTTGAAATCGGGACTGAAGTTTGAAATTGTTTCCACTTTCCACATATTTTTGTACAAAGTCATGAATTAGTAGGGTTCTCATTACATCGCATGCAGGTGACCTTTCTTATTGTATAACTTACTTTTTTAAGGCAACTCAACAGTTTTTTATGTCGATGTTTCTGCCCATCTTTTTTTTATAGGAGAGGGGGAAAACGAGCATACGGCTCACCTGATGGTAAGTGATTACCGCCGCCCATGAACCACTCCAACACTAGGGGAATTGTAAATGCGTTGCTGGCCTTTTAAAAAGGTGTAAGCTCTTTTCTTGAAGGTCCCTAAGTCGTATCGGTCCGGAAAAATCTCTGGTGGTAGTCGATTCCACAAGGAAGTTGTGCGAGAAAGAAAACTTCTTTTAAATCGCACGGTGGTGGACCGCCAGGCATCCAGATTGTATGGATGGTATCGCGCGATTCAATTTCTTTCCTATTTCAATTTCCTTCTGTCGCCTCTTGTGACATCCATCAGATGATTTGGGGTAGTAGATATTTTTACACCGCCACTACCCGTTGTATAAATTTACAAAATCATTAGATACTTATAGAAAAAATTAGAAAAATATATTGCTACTATTATGAAGCGTATTAAATCGAAAAATATTCAAAGTTATTTCCTTGTGCATAATATAGCTTTAAATGATGCCTTTGTATACGTCATGTGGCAAACATTAAAATAAAATCTTAAAAATCAACAATACTTTATTGATTTCATAAAATCTGCCCGAAGTAACGTACAATACCCACTTTATTATAAAACACTGGTGGCACCCTAATTTCAATACATCGGTAAAAACACTAACTATTATTATTAACTCTTGCTGCAATCTTCACCGATGTCACTACATGAGTTTTCATGACTTGCTTCGCTTGAATACGAGATCTTGTCTTTTCTTCTACGTCTCCTCTTTCTCTTGTTCCCTTCCATCAAGGCACGTATTTTATGGATAGGCGGGTGATCGTGGAGCACTGGCTCATAGACCATTTTAGCGTACATCACCTGTGGAACTTGAAACATAGGGACCGGCGCTACGGGGAGGGGGAAGGGACTGTATGAGCCGCCTGTACCACAACAAGCGTTGTCCGGTGGGCCTTGGCCTTGGTTAACTTCTGTGTTATTGCTTCTTAGATCAAATGCCTCCGAAGCAATGTTTGCATTGCTGTTTATGCTTCTTTTTGCAACCACTTTCACAGGTGGGTTAGTATGAAATTGTTTTCTAAATAGTTGTGCATGAACGAAATCAAATCCTTGTGTGACACAAATAACAAATAGGATTTGAAACACCTGGCGCGCCATGTTCAGATCAATAATGCGAAAAATCAAAAGTTCTTCAACTAGAAATACACTGTGTTACGCAAACATTTCATTGTTTCCTATGAATGGATTTATAAAGGTTTTGAAATGAGGTAATTATTGAAGAAAACTAGTAATTGTATTTATGATAAATATTTTTGGCTATATTTGAACGGTTAGTGATCATCATTCTTTCATTAATTACAACTTATATTCTATCAAAAGTCCACTGTGGAACACAGGCCTCGCCGATAGATCGCCTTGCAAGTGGGTTCGCCATAGTGACCACGCAGTTAACAGGAAAACGCTGCTGTCCATATCCTGTTTTTTCCCACGCCATCTACGGGATGATATCGCGTAGTAAATTTTAGGCATTTGCCTCCGACCGAACGAAATCCGACGTAACCGAAATTCGGTCTGGAGGACATTTGTCCTCGAGGACAAATTTCGGTTACGGCGTCGTGTCTCGGAGACTGTGTCTAGCTATCTATGATCTTTGCCGCTCTATAAAACCAAAACTATGAGGAAGACAGAGACAAAAATAGAAAGTCGTATATTATCTATATCTTCTATACATAATAATAAAAATGTAAATTGCAGATGTCTGTATATATTATATTTTATTAACAAAATTGATTGAGAGGAACTAAAAATAAGTAACTGAATATATTTCTATCATTTAGAATTGTCTGTCTATCTGTTTGTTTGTTAACGTATCACGTATAAAGTACTGTTACAAGCTTATGGTTCGTGACAATAAAAACTGCCTATTGAATTAACAAAATTGACACATTAATTGCCGAACATCAATTAAAACTTAAAACACACTAAAAATTAATCAAACTGTTCACTTTATTTCGCTCCGAAGCTTCGCTTGTATTGCCAATTCAATACTGCCCCGGTCGCGGCCCTAAACTGCTTTAAATGGGCCTTTTCCACTGAAACATCCAGAATATTCCAGCAAATACCGGCCTCCGACCAACCAGCTGTAGAAAGTTTGAGTGTGGAGCTTTCTAGAAAGCTTAGTTCTTCCATTCGATACTAGATAGTATATATAGATATAAGCTAGTGCCATCAACTGTGGTGCGAAATTTATATCAAAACAATTGGTAGGAAAATTGTGAAGCATGCCTTCGTTTTAAATTTAGTCTTTGTTTTATTAAAATCGGTTCACCCTATCAAAAGTTATGATTGATACTCTGAAGTATGTACGAATTTCTTCAATGGTGGCGTGATCGAGGACATTTTTGTAATTAAATAATGTAAAATTGTGTTTTATAATAATATAGTTGTATCTAAATGCAGTAAATAAAAATAATAAAGAGCAACGTAATAAATATTAAAAAAAATATAAATCTTAATATCTTAGTTAAAAAGGATTATAGTTAACCAATTTCATCGATAGATGGTATTGTGCAAATTATTTATTAAATTATAAGGTGTGCTTATAATTTTATTCTTAACCGCCGAATAGCAACAACATGGTAAATCAAATTTTGAAAGAGCTATTACCAATTTTTTGGTTTCGGCAAGGATCATATAAATGATATAGCTGTTTGGCACTAAACATATTGTTACGAGCTTGAGGTTCGTGACAATAAAAATTGCCGATAGAATTACCTAAATTAACACTTTAATTCACTTTACACTAATTAAAGTTAAAAACAATAATAATTAATCACACTGATTTACTTTATTCCGCTCCGAAGCTTCGCTTGTCTCGCCAACTTCACTACTTCCCCGATCGCATCTTGCAGCGCCTATAAATATAAATTAGCACCGAAATATCCAGAATATTCAAGTAAACACGCGCAAGGTACCGAGAGTTCGAGTTTCAACTTCTAGAAGTTTAGTTCTTCGGTTCGGGACTAGATGGCGCAGTCGGGTGAAAGATTAGTGATGTCATTTTCTGGAAAGCTCCCCTCGCTCTCGTCTCTGACACTAGATGGCGCTAGTGCCGTCGACTTAGGCACGTAACACTGCCCCCTCTTAAGACATGCTCGTCCCGACCATTATCGGCCCCATAATAACGTGCCAGGCGATCCACATGGACGATCTTAGGAGTCCCTCTTGCGCCTTTCTGTAACGGCTCCGCAATGTGAAGGGCTGTCCTATCCCATGGTGCACCAACATTATACAATTTCGGTGCTCCTCTACTACATGTCCGAGGTCCCCTCACGGCCGCACAACTTGTACATGTACGACACCAAGCCTCGACATCGTAACGATAATGGACCCAGTAAAACTGTTCTCGGACCTTCAGTAGAGTTCGTTTAACTCCCAGATGGACTCTTGAACGACCATTATGACACAGCTGTAGAACATTCGGCCCTTTAGCTTTAGGGACAACCATTTGCAAACGACAGTTGTCTGCTCGACAATTGTCCCATTTACGGCACAGGACTCCATCCTGAATCAGCAAGCTGTCCCATTGGGCCCAATAGCTTTTCGAGGTTGAACTCATCGCTGAGACATCGCTCCACTTAGGCTTGGTAGCACGGGCCTTCATCCATTCCAGAATCGGCTTGATGTCCGGATCTTCCTGCTGTGCATGTCGTAGGATGTCCTTCCACTCGTTGCTGAGATGGTCTGTCCTGAGCATCCTCACGGATACCACTTCCTTACTCTCTTGTCTAGTACAATGTTTCCGATCTTCAGGACAAGGTCTTCTTGACAATGCATCTGCGTCGCCATGAGATTTCCCGCTGCGATGTCTGATAGTAAAGTCGCATCCCGGCTGCTGCTGGGCGGTGATGTTAGCCGCACTTCCCTTCTGAGATCGTTCACCTTTCTTCTGAGATCGTTTTCCTTTCTAGGATTCGCTTAGGGCAGCTGGATCGAAGATGGCCCCTTTCCCCACAGCCATAGCACCTAGGGCTGTATCCTTTATTGTGGCCACGAACCGTAACTGCTGCAACCTCCCTAGCGCGAGGGTAACGACGATCCTACCACCTCCAGGCGGTGCCGTTAGCTGCACTACCCTCTCGAGATCGATCAACTCCCCTTTCTACAGTTCGCTTAGGGCAGCTGGAGCGAAGATGGC